TTTTATAAGAAAGTTATTGTGAAAATTAGTAAGAAAACTATTCTGAACAAAGCCTAGAGCATATTATTGCATGTTAAATCATATTTTTTTATGAAAATAATGCTAATTTTCTTATGTAAACTGATCCTCCACACTTAAATTTACTTTAAAATGAATTCAACACATAAAAAAATTCAATTAAAATGTATATTACATATATCTCAAAATAAATACAATACTTTTAAGATCCATTTTGACAAAAAATTTTGATCAATAAATTTTGTAACTATTTTTTTATGAATATATTACATGCAGTAAAAATCGTGATTGAATAATTATAATTTGTACCTCAAACTCTTATTTTTCATATAAAAAAATTGCTTTAATCTCTTATATCACTTGTAGCCAAGAAAAAAAAAATAGGTGGGGAACGTGCCCCCCCCCCTCTCTGCCCTTGTCTCTCGCACGCACAATTTGAAGTCGAACAAACTCCTCTTTATCAAACCCAAGCCTCGACTCTTCTTTCTTGACTCACCTCCACTTAGTCTCAAACTCCAATCTTCTCCCTCACATTCACATCACGAAGCCCTTGCAACATCAACCAAGCCTAGTACATCGCTCGTCACTCCTGCACCGCCCCACGCACGCTATTCCCAGCCACACTCGAAGCCTCACCAAACCCTTCTTACTCTGTCCACCCCTTTTCTCTCTTTCTAAATAAAGAAAGCACTCTTTATATCTCCCTATCTGTCACTAGCTCCTCCCTCTCTTTTTTCCCTCTCTTCCTTCCTTTCTCTTGGTAAAAAGATAAAAAAGAGAAGAAAAAGTATTTTTTTTAAAGAAGAGAAAACTTTTGTTCCGTCGCACGTCATCGTCATCGCCACGCGCATATGGTATAATACAAAACTGCAAAATTAAGTACTCATATATGTTGTTCCAATGCGATGGAAAAATACAAAATAAATATGTATGCGCATTTTTTTAATGCAGCAGAGAAATTCCACGTTTTTGCTCATGTAGCTACATAAGGCCTATATGCACTCTTTAAGTGTGGTGGGATAAAAGATCCCTCGGCCATGATTTCTAATGATACCAACCATGCATGCTATTTTAAGAATGGTGGGAAGGCCTAACTTACGAAGAACTCTCATACGCGGGGAAGATGGAAGGAAACTACATAAATTCACAATGAACAAATTTGAAAGAAGGGACTTTTTGAATATGAACATGTGAACTAAATGAATAAGAAGTACAAAGAACAAAATTGAACACTTAAAACAAGATGCCTAAGCACTAAAAAAACAATTTTTATCCTAAAATTTGTAACAATAAATAAATTGGAACAAATGAAATGAACATAAACCAGAACTTGACAGGACTTACAGGAGACTTATAATAAACTCTGCAACTCACCTACAAGCAAGAACAAAACCTCCCTACCAAACTCAAAACCCATTTAAACACTCAAAACAACGCAACAAATGAGAGTTTGAATACGAAAATCAACACGTAAGCCCTCTTATTTATAGGAGAAGAAATGAATTTTTGTGAGACCCATCTTGTTAAAATATAAATATATAAAATTTGTAAAAAGATAAAACAATCACATCTTGATATGCACCAAAGATCGTAACTCACTTTCAACGCCATCATATCCATAACATATAAAAGCAAACAAATAGAAGGTGAAAGACTTGGCAAGCATTTTGATGACAGACACTGATGTAAACAAATGAAATCAAAATATTTTCAAATCTTGCATGCATTAAAAAAAGATCAAATTTGAGTGCTACACAACGAGGAGTGTGCAATTACCTCAAGAGAACACAACAATCTCGAAAAGCATGCAATTATCTCAAGAAACTTGCAACTGCCACGAGAAACGTGTCACAATCTCAAGAAGCATGCAAATTCCTCGAGAAGCATATAGCCATCCCAAGAAGCTTGTCATTGCCTGGAGAAGCATACAACAAAACAAAAGACCGTCTATAACAAGAGATAGATGGTACCATTAAGTTTGATGATAGTACCAATGGTGGAGGGTTTCATCTCAATATGAGTTAAAACAAAGGTCATGTTATTGAAGAGAAATATACATAGAGTTTAAGAGGTACTCAAACCATGTTATAAAAATAAAGTCCAAAGTAGAAGAGATGTCCATGCAATGAGCTATAGAAGGATTAGTGACTAAGCCTTAGTTTGGGACGGCTTTTTTATTGCTTCTTAAAGTCGCTTTCTAGTAAAAAAATTTAATTTTTAAACTAGAAAGATGTTTTAAGAAGCAATAAAAAAGCCGTCCCAAACGAAGCCTAAGTCACAGTGAGCGAATGATCTAGGAGTAGGATAAGCGAAGTAGGCTAGAGCATGTAGGAAGAAGTGGTGAGACTAGGGTCACAAAGCATGCTTTTGCAAGGATGAACAAGCATGTGATCTATGTGGGGGTTGGCAAGATCGGGCAAGGTTGGAAATCGAATGCAAGCATTAGTTGGTCAGTTAATGGCATGCGAGAACATGAATGGTGGGAGATCGGGTGAGTACATGAACAGGATGATTGGTAAGAGGGGGTGGGCATGAATAGGATGACTAAGCCTTAATATCAAGCACATATACCTTGTTGATATTAAAACTTTAAAATGTTATACATTGAATGGAGATGAATATTAATAGGCACACATAATAAATTCAATAGGAAATAAATAAGAGGGAGAATAACAAATACTATGAGGAAATATATATTTTCTCAACTTAGATGCTTTCCTAATATTATTTTCCCAATGAATGTCATATGCCAACCATGTGATTGGCTCAAGAGAAGTTCCTGTCGAAGTTCAACATTCGTAAGCTTTAGTAGTATTTAACTTTATTACTCTTTAAAAGCACATTTCTTTTTTAATAATGTTTTATAACTTATTAATCCACCACAAACTCTCGTTACAATTAAATTAATTGTTTCTAAACTTTACAAATTTCTCCTTAAAATAACTCTTATCCCACGTTAAGTTTTTTTAAGCAAAGATTACCAATTTATTACCTTACAAATTTTACTATCTAATCATAGGAAAATAATTTCCTTAAATCAACTTCTTTACATTCCCAACATAAACATCCATGACTACTACTTTATGTTAGATGGTCAAAAACTCTCCTAGATTTTTCTTTCATTCAAATAATAAGAGATCTGGTTGTGGTTTGGCTCCACTTGTGAAAGTAGTCTATTGGAATTCCAGTTTCTTGCAATGCGAATTCATAATTGCATATCATTGAGATCAAACAAAGCATCCCTCATTACATTTGTATTTCTATTACATAAGCTTACAGATCCTCCCAAAGCCTCTCATATTAGAACCTATATATTCCTTTAAGACACCCCCAATAAATATTCTTATTGCTTAAGATATATACCGTAATAATTCATCCATCTCTTAGCAGAATTAGGTTTTTAAACTATCCTCCTATCTAATTAGAAGAGTACAAACACTAACCACATTTATAATATCCTCAATGATAATAATCTAATAACAATCACCCTATTCACTTCATTAATTTATCTTTCAACTCTACAAGTGCTACCAAACTTTAATCTTATTTCCCACCTTTTCAAAAGACAATAACTTCAATTTCCTAAAAATTTGATCCTGCTACCATTTAGTTTCTCGCAAACAAATAATATTTATTCTTTTATAGTCATTATGTCCTACAATTTTCTTTTATACCCCTTCTAAGTCATCAAATTTGTTGCTGCGGATCAAAACTTACCCTTGACCTAATCAATCATTGCTTATTTTCCACTCAAATAAATGTTAAAGCAGTGCATAATCTGTGAGTGATGTCCTAGCCAACATTGCCTACTTTTCACAACAATCAAGTTGCTTCACGTCACTTCTGGGTAATAACCCGGCCACCATTGCCCACTTTTTATCACATTCAAATTAAGTTGTAGCATGTCAGTTACCAAAATGTCCTAGCAAACCCTTGCTACTTCTTACTATAATTGGGTTACATCATAGCATGAAATTTTTTAAAATGCCCGAAAACAAAAATAAAATAAATTCTGGATTAATTTCAAAATTTTAGTATAACATTTATTGTTAGTGTTCCAAGAAATGACGCTTTTTACATTTTCTTGTTTCCAAACAAAAAAATTGAAAGATTGGTAAGACATCAGTAAGATAAAGATTATTATATTTGTTTCACTCCTTCAAAGCCAGTAGATTCTGAATGAGCCAAATTGATTACATCTGTCATCCATATGTGAATCTCTATGAGAATTTTGAGGTTCAATTTTGTACTAAACAAAAGAGAAGCACAGCATCAAAAAAGCTTTAATGGTTATTACATATTAATGGTCTAAGAAAATAAAAATTTCCCCAAATTTGGCATATAGAAAATGTCCCATGTTTAATATCTGTGTTTCTGACTTGTTCTTCTTCTATTACATCCCGTTACTTTTGCATTTTCATTTCTGGCAACAAATACTTGCATACACTCTCAAACTCGCAAATACTTGGTTAGTTATACTTAAAATTGTTACGAGTTTTCATTTAGACCCAATTTAATCCTCCATGCGCACACGACATGACAATAGTATTTCAGAAGGGCAGCTACACAAGCTATATTGGAACAGTTATAACTATAGGTAGGCTAAATCAGCCAATACTTGGGCTAGATGTAACATTAAAAGTAAGGAAGATCATCGTTTTCAACTCTGCAATATCAACTGGAGCTTGAAAGAATAAAAGACGGATAATCAAAAGCGCAAAGAAAAGTAGGTATCTGAAGAGCATATAATCAAACATGGAACATGTACCAAAACGTTTCTAAAGGTCAATGAATTTTTTATTGGGAAGAGGGAATTTAATATCAACATGAAAAGAAAATTTTGACGAGATCACACAGTTTTAATTTCAAATTCCCATAAACTTCAAAGTTTTTAAGATAGAATAGAGGTATTATGGCTATAGAATAACAGGTATGCAGTCACTATTATATGCACCTAAAAAACTGATCAGAGCAATGTTCACCTTCCAGTTCTTAGCATCAAGTGTTTAAGAAATCCACGGTGGGTATGCACATCATAGGGAGAAAGGCCAAGACTTGGATCTCTCCAACAATCTTGAACAATTGCTAGAACCTATAAAATTAGCAGCAAATGATCAACTGATACAAACAAACCATTAATATTGATGAACAATTAATGATGTTCGCAGAAATTCATCATGTTCACTGAATTTTAGGCAGCTGAAATTTAAATTGTTTTTTTGGCCAAATACCAAAGAACAAATCCCATTAAGATGGACGAAAAAAAAATAATGATAAAAAAACATTCATTGCACGACTAAATCCCATTTAAAAAAGCACACAGTAGACTAGCCTAACCTAATAAGATCCTATGATATCTTGAAAATACAATTATGCTTAACAGCATAAAGGAAATCTGTAGAGCACCGAGCTCCACGTGGCATAAAAAGAAATACCTTATTAGCAGTTTCATAAAAAGAATTACCTTATTAGTAGCTTCACTTTGTAACATACATTTGTCAATATGAAGCACCTTATCAAAAAATCCGGGAACATGCAATCCCAATGCATAACCATTCTCAATCAAATCCTGACCCCCCCTGGGACCATCGCTAGGCACCCAGCACTGAGCACTAAAGGAGAACTCCATCTTAACAGACACAAAAATTAAATCGGTCACATACGAAGAATGGCATCCAATTAAACTGTAATGAAAAGGTGGAACAGCACAAACCTTGTTTCGGTAGTGAAAATGCATGTCACAGGGTACGATTGGTTTGAAAATACAATCTTTTGCACAATCCGTGCTGGAAAACCTGCCCACATGAATGATCAAGTCTCGAACTTGAAGTTCCTTGGCCTTCAGCTGTGCCTTGTAGTGAAGATTTTGGGTCTTGCAACCTCCACAGTAGGAAGCGTATGCACATGGCGCTTCAACTAAATCCCAATGCGGGGTGATCGTCTTCAGCTTCGTCACCTGCAATTATCTCATTATACTAACAGAATAGACAAAAAAACAGTTAATTCAAAGAAAGGACTAGATGTATAGAAGCAGGTAGGATTTAATTTAAGCAAAGTAGAATTATTAAATCATGGGAGAGTTATATCCTTAAAAATTGTTTGGTTGTCGATATTTATACTTTGAGTTAAATCCCGAAAAATTTTTGAAATGCATGAGAATAATCCTTAAACGCAATGCTTTTAATTCCCACAAAGTCCGCCAAATTCCATCAAATTCTAAATTTATGAAATTAATGGATTTTTTAAAAATCTGAAAAAATTGCTTGGTTGAATTTAGCTTAATTGCAACCTAAATTTTGCAACAAAACAGTTATGTACGATTTGGGAACATTAAATCCTCAAAACTATTAAACTGGTAATATCTTTAATCCAAGTAGAAAAACACTAAGTATCAAAAAAAAAGTAGAAAAACCCTAGACTTGTTTGATATAAGATGACTTAACAAATTCTTAAATCCTACACCTTTTTTTACGTAAATCTTGTTGTATATCCATATTTATCTGGGTAGATAAATCAAATAACAATAGGGAAATGGTCCAATCAACTAATGAATGGTTAACAAACTTAAACCATGCAACGATTGGAAAGTCACTCATTCAGAGATTGTCATAAGTAAATAAACAAGTCATCATCTAAGAAGAATTCTGCTCATAGTACTTGACTACCAACTCAATCAAAGATATGCAGAAGGTGTGCCCGACTAATAATACACGATAAATGACCAACTAACAATACTCGACCATAGTACTTGGCCATAGAAATTGTCCAAATTACCCAAATCATGAGAGGCTGCAACACTGTCATCTATAGCCTCTGTCCTGCCACCATGGCATTGGTCTAAATCCTTTAAAGCCCATCATGTAGTTTCAATCCTACCTCTTTCATAGGGGATCATGCGTCAAATTTGAAGCATTCCCTCTTTTTGCCTTCTTTCGGGGACAACTTTTTCTTGCACTCTCTCTCTCTCTCACACATGCACTCACTCAGCTTAGCTTGATTACGATCTCTTATAATAGTACTAAAGAGAGCGCAAGAATCAGACTCAAAAGTCCAATTAATCCATTCCCCCATTTCTTGATTAGGGTTAGTAGCCTTGAGTAGGGTTCAATCTGCTTCCAGCAAATAATTTTGAATCCAGCATCCTTTCTATTATCATGATTTGAACCAAAAAGAAAGTTGAGTCATACAGGCGATTGCAAATAAACACCCAAAGAAAGAAATGCAACGACTATTTTATTTCAAACAAACTTAGGAGACAAAGGATGGCTTCAACAAGATGATCTATACCATTCTCGAGTACTTCCAGCAAACCATTCCTCAATCCTCTACCTCAAAAATCAATATGTTGTCAAGACGTCAACCGCAAATTGCAAATGGCTCGTTTTTCAAAATCATTCAGAAATGATTGTTCTTCCTAAGAGAGTGATGTTTAGATGTCGATTGAGAGAAGGTTAAATGTGGTGCTCAACTAACTAATATATTTTCACTGAAAATTGCAAAGGAGCTACTTGTCCCCAAATTTCAACAAGTCAATGATTGATGCATACAAGGATAGGGTTAGGCTTAGCGCATTATCAGCATAAATCCATCATCCCTTTACTAGCAGTTACAAAAGCTATGAATTGCGGACTTATTTTTGTAACCTTCAAAGAAAAACATCAAAGTTTCCACAAGGAAGCATTACTTCCATGATGATTTGAGGAAGTAAATGCATACCTAATTTGCGAGAACATAGAAACCACTCAAGTACACATGGGCATCTTGAATATAAGCAATAGTTGAATGAAACACTTCTCGAATTCATCACACGCTTCCAATAACTGATGTTAAATGTCTAAGACCTGGAGGAAAGTACTTCCCGGGCTACATTCACTCAAGGGTTTCATGAAGAACCATTTTGTTACTATTTGAGAAATAAGTCACTTAGGACTTTAGCTAAGTTATTAGAACTTCAAAATAGTCAAATTAATGCCTAAGAGTACAATTAGGTGGCATTGATTAGGGAGACCTACACCCTGAAGCCTAAGGAACATTGCAAACATCCTCATGATACATGAAACTAGACATTTGACAACCATAACAAGTTAGCTAAAAGCTACATTCCGACAAGCTCATCACCCAGTGACCTTTGATGGGCGAACAATGCATTACAACAACTCCAAGTAGGAGAGGGAATCTTATAAGTTGAAAGAATCATCGTATACTCTGTTGCAAGTTTCGATTGCAATAGTAATTAGCATTAAGGTGTAAGTGAACTTAACCTGCTCACAAGCTAGCTCGAAATGGACTCATCAATGAACTTGTGATTTGAGCTTATTAAGCTACGAATTCATGCCGAGCTTGTGCTCATACTATAGTTCAAATATTAAACAAGTTTGTGTTTGAGCTTAATGAGACTCAACTTGTTGGTTCAGATACTAACTCAATCAAAATAAACAAGTAAACCTAATTTCTCCTACATTAGATTAATCTCAATCCAAATTGAAGGACATAAGTCTCACAAACTCTTCTTCAAGTGTTGTTGGTGATATTGATGTCTTCTCTAGTGAGCTCCTCCCACAAAATCCTCGACTTTAGTCTGATCGATGCATTCTCCAGCAAGCTCCAATTACGACTTTTTTTGTCATTGTTCCCATCGATACCTTCTCTAACGAACTTTGGTAGCAATTTTCTCATCATCAGAACCTTCCTCAGTAAGCACCAATTGCAACATTGTCAATCACTTCTCTAGCAAGCACCAATCCCATCTTTGTCATAGAGGGTTGTCGAATTTAATGAGAAACTACAGCTCGAGCTCGTAGTTGGTAGACAAAACGAGCTCAAACTCAATATATGAGCTCGATCTAGGGTTTGAACCTATTGTAAACAAGACAATACGAGCTCAAATTAGTCATGGATCGAGCTCGACTCAACTCAATTACACTCTTATTCAACACCATCCACTACAAGAAGTGGTGTAAAATTAAGCAAACCTGAATTCATCATTCAACATTTTAATAACAAACTGTTTTAATTCTGGAATGTCATCACCAACCTGAATTCATCATTCAACAAAATTTGAATAAAAAAATTAAATTGGGAGAATCATTCCTTATTTCAACTAATAAATATTAAAAATTGCTAGGAGGTATTTTACCAATGTATATTTTACTTGTTGTATCCCAAAGAATCTTTTTTTATTTTTAAATGGTATAAGTTGCATATCATCCTCACCCTCTCAGTTGAGTCAGCTTTCAACAAATCCATATAATAGTATAAACCTAATTTGATCTCAATACTATTCACCTTATTCTCAAGTTGAAATTGGAGAATAAGGTAATATCCTACAGATGTATATGATAATGGAGCCAAATTTCCGACTTCTCATCAATGATTTATCAAATATCCTTGTAACTATGTTCATCCCCTCCTAAGTTAAGGGCTATCAAACTCCTTCGCCTTGTCCATTACATTATAAATGAAGTCATAGCCAGCTTTTTCTTTGCAACAGCCATCCTTAAAATTTGAATAATTAACACTTAGCCAAAACCTTCCATTCAAAATAATATTCCTAACTTCTTTCCCTTCAACTTACTTTACCCAAGCACAGCTAAACCATTGTGTGAAAGTGAACATAGCTTTCAAAATTTTCCTTGCTTTCAACATTCTTTATAGAGTCAAGAAGGTTGTAGCAAATCTAGTTATAATAGGCCTTTATATAGTCAAGTACGCTAAGATAAATCTCCTAAATAACTTGAAAGATCTCAAAATGAGAACCAAGCCCAAACCTAATAAGTTGATTTTTTTTACAACACTATTGTTGGAATTCTTCAACCAAAGAAGCTTGTCAACTAGAGTTTTCATTCTTGCCATTTCTCTTTCCTCAAAGAAGTGTGTTAATTAGTTTAGCAATATCAGTCATTCCAGCACCACGATTTTCACAAACTTTCTATGTCTTCAATGACAACAGGTTGACCTTGGACTCAAATGGCACTTATCAAACACAAATTTTTTATTGCTTAACTTGCAAGTCAAGTTCGCCATTTTTAGAGAATTTTATTTCTGAGAAGGCAAGGATTATACTTCCTCTTCTTTAGCAAGGGTTTTAGATACATAAACACCCATGTTAGCAACTATCTCAACGATGACCTTCTTTCCACCACCTCCTCATTCATTTTACCTATATGTTAAATAGGCATCCAAATTCTTGCAACTTCAACCGCTTCATCAAATTCGCACCAAATAGATGCTTCAGCAGCAATTGAAATGAAGAGTCACAGTTGGAAGTTCATAAATTGATTCCTATACAAATTAAAGAATAGCAAAGAGTAACTTTGAAATCATAACTCTCGTCTATGAGATGCAAAATTGAGCCCAAAAAAGCTCTTTAATTGCATCCTTAGAGACATCATAGTAGTTAGAAACCTTATGGCATCTTGAATAGAGAATGAGATGACAACCAAGGCCTCAAGCCAATGATCTTTCATGCAAAAATATCATCCATCAACTTTTCTTCTGCTTCATGCTCCATTGCATGATTAGAAAATCTTGCATTTGCGGGTCAATCTTCATCATTAGAGACATTATGGCTGTTAGAAACTCTGCCTTATTCTCGAGCACAGATGCCTCGGTCAATGCAGAACCTTTCATAAGTAGAAGTGACTTCCTCTTCAAGGTGTTTTCAAGTTGCTTACCCTTCCCATTGATAGCCAAGAGCTTGCAACCTAATCCCTTCAAATTTTCCATTATAAAAGAAATTTAATTCATAATAAAGGAAAGTTCTTAGAGCTCAAATAGTGAAGTAAATTATAAATATGACAAAAGAGCTTATAATGCTAATAATTAAAGAATCAAGTGAAGACGTATCTTATTGGATCCAGCTTCATATGAATCAATGTTATTAATCAAATCTGACACGACACAAAGCTTAGAACACCTAATGCATGGATTGTCAGTAATACCATTCTATTGATCTTCAAGGCCCATCAAAGAATTAAGGCAATAGAAGAACTAATGTACATCTATACTTGCCTAGATCAATGAATCAAGTTGCAATTACAGACCTGAACTTGGTCCAAAGAACCAATGAATGGAAAACGTGATTAAACCATGCAAATATAAGAAGCGGCCCATTTAGAAGTCATCAATTGAATGCTTCATCTCAAAAGAACTCAACTCTCAACCACTGAATTCGGTCAAATGATATGTGGATGTATCCAACTAGTGATACTTACATGACGAACTAGCAATATTTGTCTATAATGTCCAACAACATAAATCATATAAGATAGCCGCATTATATATAAGAGACAACTATATAATCACAAGATGGCTAGCCACAATCTATGTTATAAACCAGGAAAAATGAAAGAAGAATGACCTCGGCGTAATTCCCTTTCTTTCGGGATACGCGGCCGATGAAACGTTCGCCTGGGAGAGCGCGGTCGCACATGACAACGAAGCCCGTGTCGGCTACCTTGCAAACGCCCGTTCCCTTGAAGGCGAGGGATTCGCAGACGAGCTCCAGTGTTTTCCCTCGCTTCGGAAAGAAGGAGGAAGCGGAAGAGGACTCAGGAGACGGAAGCGACGTGGATGGCTCGACAGAGGAGTGAGGAGGAAGTGGAGGACATGGGGAAGGAGAAGAGAACGACGAACAACGTATAGCTCGCATCCATGGATGTGCGGTCACTCGGCTAGCTCCAGCACAGCCCGGAAAGACGGCAACCGCCATGGCCGACGAACAGAGAACCGGAATAGAAATACTGATCGCGCGAGGGGCTTATGTTAGTGAGCTGGCGCACATTCAACCCCATCAATTTGATCCTCAACAAGTGAGATTTAATTTTAGCAGAATTTATCCAAGTTGTGAAAATCGGATCGGACAACGAACCGAAAGAGGGAGAGGTTCACGGTTTGACCGATTCGACAGGTCGAACCGGATGACGTAATAAATAATAATATTATTAAAAATAAATAAAATAAAAATCAATATAATATAAGCATATGAGCATTTAATAATATTTATAAAATTTTATACATATAAATATATTTAAGAATAATATATTTATAAGAATAATACTTAATATAATATATAAATTTATAATAAAAAATATATGATCACTAATATAATATAAATAATTAAATATATGATCATTTAATAATAATGCAAAATTATAAATATAAATATCATTTAAAAATAATATATTTATAAAGTATTTGGTATGATAAGTATTAAAACATGAGAAGATGTTTGACAATATATTTCATGATTTATGGCCGTTAGATATTTAAATTGTATGATTAATGAGATTATTAAGTTATTATTTACACTATTAATTATATATATTTAGTGATATATAATTTAAGTTATATTAATTAAGCTAATTATATTTAATATTAATTACTAATTATACAATTAATTTAAATTAGATAATTAATTTATGCACAAACTATATAATTAGTTATTTAATTAATTTACTTAATTATTAATAATTTAAATAATATTAATTAAGTTAATCAATAATAACATAAGGCGTCTAGGTTTGCCATTCATCTTCTCTTTTCGTCGTTGTTGCTCGGCTTCGTTGCTTTGCAGGAGGTGTACAACGCAGGTGTATAGATTGCACGCGACGCTTCTTCGGCTCCTTCCTGGCTATTCGACTTCGCTCCTTCTACGACTTTCCCTCCAGTCCGAATGGAAGTTACGACATTTTGATCGGAAGCAAGAACAGGAGTTCGCTAGCTGTGAAAATAACTTTCTCCCTTTCTCGTGCTTCATCGGCTAAATCCTGTTAAATCCACCAAACCGAGGGATTTAGTAAATCTGGGAGTTAAGACGTAAATCCCGAAATTCGGGATTTATGAAATCCCGGGATTTAACGCGCGCACAAAAACCATTTGGCTGGATTTAGCGTAAATTCGACTTAAATCCCAACATAAATCCGATACCAAACAGCCCCATAGGCTTAGTTTGGACAGTTTAGTAAAACAATTGTCCCAAATATATTTAAGAAATAGAAGGCTTAGTTCTAAAAATTGGACCCGTCATTGAACCGCATGAAAGAGTGATTAAGAATTAAAAGGTTCAATTGAAATTGAACCGAATAAATTGAATGATGTAATAAATATTAATTTTATTTTAATTTAATATCAATGATGTAATAATGATGTAAGCATTTAAACATGTGACTAATTAAATAATTATGAAATGTGTAAAATAGTACAACATATATTATTTTTTAAAATTAAAGATATAAAGAATTAAGGGCATCTCCAACGGAGAACTCCATTTTTCACGGCAAAATATAAAAAAACTCTAAAATGTCGTGGTGCTGCTCCAATCGAATAGCATTTTAAGTACTTCTGCGAAGGTAACGATCATTCTCTCTTTTGCACGTTTTTCAAATTGAGAGAGCAAAATAGTGTGGGTAAACAGTGCAACGCCAATATTGGCGTCGCACTGTTCACCCGCAAATAAATGGCGGGAGATTTGGCGTTCGGCTGGAGCGACCGAACGACGCCATACGCATGTTTGACGTTCGGTTGGAGATGCTCTAAGTAACATACCTCTTCATAATTTCTCCTGCAAAATTTTTTTGGAATCTACATTTCATTTTCTCTAATAGATGAATTTCTATGAAATGAAAAGAAAAGAAATTTAACATCAAATAAGAGACATGGAATACAAATAACTTGATGCAAAGTACAATAAGCAATAAATGCATATACACCATAAAATTTTTAAAGATAATAAAATCACATATTTATGTTATAAAGATAATTTCTTAAAACAAACAAAAGTCCACATTTTATTATTCACTTCAGTTTTCCCATTAAAAAACTCAAAAAATCTAAGAGAATTAAATAATTATCTCCTATATTTATCATCCAATAATAGACAAAACTTAATAGACAAAATCCATGAACTGAATGTCTCTACCTCATTTTGGCTATTCTATGCTCTATTCTATTTGTAATTATCTTTGCTATTTTAGAAATAGTACCAACCATGCTAAAATTTAAAAAGAAAAAATGAGAGCTAAGGCTAAATAAATACACATAGATTATTAACAGTAAAGAATAAAAGAAGGGCTCAAGGAGCATGAGGGACAATAATTTTTGCTTGACGGCTAAAGGCAAAAAAAATTTTTGAGAGGAGGCAAGATTTCTCAATTGCCCACCCTCAACTATACTTAGTTTTACCCTTACTTGAACTCAAATGCTACTAAGGTACAAGCATAAAACGAACAAACCTAAAATTAGGGTTTTTCACAGCTATTGATTTTTGCACAAAATGAATAAATGATGGAATGTACACTACCATGAGTAAATGAAAAAAACAAAAACATTAACAAATAAATTTGAAATGAAATACTCAAAAAAAAAACTTAGATGTGAAATATTTTTGTCTTGACTAATGCTTACTCCAGAAATCCTCTCGGATGAAAAGCTTTGTGGTCGGCTAGGTGAGGAAAGAGCACACCTGAACCATCTAAAAGCTTCGGCCGCTAGCGATGACTGAGTAGCAGTGTTGAAGTTCATGAAGAGAGGGAGGAGAATTGAACGTGATTGTAGTAGTCGGGAATCAGGATAGGGTTTAGGCGAAGGAAGAGAAAGTGAGAAATTGTTACTATTAGATTTAGGTTATATTAGATTTAGATCAAACGATTGAAATTCAGCTTTCATGCTTTCGCTTGGTTTTCCAAAAATAGTTCCGGGTTCACCGAGTGAGCAATTTGACCTCTGGTTATCTCCGGTCTCAGCAAGTTTTAGTCGAAAAGAATTATTATGAGAACCGGAACCGTTTGGTCTAATCCAATTTTTAAAATCTTGGGAAAAGGAATACTTTAATGTTGTTTGGATGAATGTAAAATAAATGCAAATGAATGATTTTTGTTTGGTTAGAAGTAATGAATATAGAGTAAAGTTCTAAATGGTGATGGTTGGCGATGACTGTGGCGGCGAGCTGCGGGCGGTCAAAAAAGCTTGTGATGTAAATAGTTTTCATTCAAAATTGGAATAGTTTGGTTTACATTCAAAACAAACTACTTCACTCTACATTACATTTACTATACTTTACTTTGCATCATTTTTGTATTCCAACTAAACACCAAAAATTGTAAAACTCCTGCATTTGAAATATTTTACATCATAAAGTAATCCAAAATCCAACTAAGCAGGCTCTAAATATGTCTCCAAGTCCATTTCAAATTAAAATAATTTTATTTTTATAATATGCATTCATGTACTCTTTATCGCGTAAATTATTATATTTAGACTTAAATATATGCAAAATAAAAATAATTATATTATTTATTTGTATAAACTATATCACATGAGAGTAATTGCCATCTTTAATAAACACTTTAGTAAATGACGTATCCATAGAGTAATCAATATTTTATGTCAAACATATTTTTTTAGTATCATCTTCATTTGTTCTTAAATCAATAGTCAATTCATCATTAGTAGTTGTTAGGAGGTTAATGATATTTATTATAATGATTTATGAATGTACTTTAAAAAATATAGATGTGCTCTTTATGAAGAGGAGGGCATGAACCATTGTCTCTAGAGAGAGAGATGTCGATAGTCTTCATTCTCCATTAATCTTATTGCACCTACCACCATTCTCCATAACAAAAGAAATCACCTCCCTTCAAAGCAAACATCCAAGTCGTATATATTGTCATCCCATGCATAATTGTAGCATGCAAAAGAACTCAAAACTTGTTCCTTTAAGGCAAAATTTGTGGGCAAAGGCCTGGGTGCTCAAGTCTTTATAAAACTCTATCTTGCAACAACCTTCAAAATCAACTTTACATGCATAATTTATTTTTGAGCTACCTTTTATATTTGAGCATATTTCTCGGGGCAAACAAAGCCTCATATTCTAAGCAATTGGCTCTTGTAAATCATTTACATGCTTGCTACCACCTAGGTTCATAACAAACTCAACTGGACATCAATAAAGTCTCTAATCCTCTCAACCACAACTATAAATATTATCTTAAGGATCGTGACAACCTCAACATTTTCCATCGATAAGGTGTTTATTCTTCTTTGTGGCATATAATATCCACTTATAAAGTTTCATAATCTTCTTGTCAGTGCATATCTCATTCTCAAGATGGTGATTGAGCCTTTTTACGGATGTCTATTACTTCTTGGAGTATTAATCTTCTTAACAAGACATCCCCATCATCATAGTAACATTTCATTAACCTTGACAGTCATTCTAGCCTTATTAAAAGATAATTTAAAACTCTCCCAACATTTTGAGATAAGTTATAGCATTATGAAGTGATCTTCATCTTAGAAATATCATCAACCCAAACCATAGTTGTTCTAAGCCAAGTTGAGCAACCCATCACCTTGGTGTATAAACCTATGGTATCTTAAGGCGGCATATTAGCGTCTCTACATTTGCAACATTGATGGTCATGTCATCTCTTGACCTACTACAATTCTAAGTCATAACCCCAAACTTAACAAAAATACATGTGCGGCTCTAATTCTCTTCATGACATTTTAAGAATATGAACACAAATGGGATATTGGATGAATTATAAGTGAGAGTTATGTTTAGTGTTACTAATGAAGAAAAATAAAACTTGCTCTTCCTTAATATGACAATTCATTAAGACACATTTTTCATGATTTAACAATATTGGTTCCCTGAGCCTTATAAATTTTAATCCATTAGATTTATGCTCGATTATTTCTTTCTCCATCTTAATCCATTAAAATCCTTTTAAATTCCCTTCGTTTGGCTAAACAGAGAAACATACATGAGAATGTAGCTAGAGACAATTTTAGAGAGA